CCTTTGTTTAAGTATATTTTTAAAAGTTATAATGATAAACAATATAACTGATAAATCTCAGGAAATGGAGAGGGGCTTTGAGTGAAAGTGTTCTATCATACCCACCTTTTAGGAAGGGAGATATTGCATACCTTTTTAAATTGATCAATTCAGAAAGAGATCAAAGCGTGTTTGTTAGCATTGCAGTGGTAATCACCAGAAGAACTGGAACCAGAAATGGGTGAAGTGGTTTGTACTTAGACTGGGGCCAGAAATGAAAAGGAAGAGAATTTTATTTTTTTATTTGTACCCTTCTTAGTTTTTTTTTAAACCATGTGTATGTATTGCTTTTATAAATAAATAATAATTTAAAAATCAACTAATCAAGATCATAGAAAAGAAACTCCTAAGTTTTGGGAACTAGCATAATGCTGACACCAAACTCTAATAGAGAAGAAATGATAAACTTTTAATTTTATAAATATTGGTGCAAATAAATGTTAATAAATCAGATTTGGTATTAAGTTAAAATACTGATGTGACACACTCAAAGAGAGATTATTTCCAGACTATAAAGATAGTTCAACAATAGGAAATCGATTCATATACTTCTACATATTAACAGATCAATTAAAGAAAAAGCCACAGTCAACAGACTGAAAATTCAGCATTCTTTCCTGATTAATAAAATTAAGGTAAAAGACAAATAGAAGAATACATTTTTAACATGATAAAAGTAGGTGAAACATGTATGAGAGAATTTCACTCCTTAATATATAAAGTGCTTTTACAAGGCAACAACAAAAAAATATATCCAATAGAAAAATAGCAGTAGGAGGTAAATCATAGAATAAATAAATTATCCCCCAAAATTGAAAAAAATGTTCAACCTTATCTTTTTAAAAGAAATGTAAGCATATACCACAAATAAAAATTTTAAGCTATTATATTGGCAATGATTAAAATGCTAATGCTCAGTATTGGTGAGGTTGAAAGAACAGACTCATTTGACTAAAAGTTGTATACATTGATAAAATAGTGGGAGGTAATTTCTCAATATATTAAAAGCCATTAAAAGTTTATATACCTTTTGATCTAGAAGTTCCATTTCTAGGAGTTACATCTAAAGTAATCATTTAAGATAGATGCTCACAAAATTTAGCAACAGGATTAATTTCTACTACATATTTTATAATGAAATATAGAAATAAACCAAATGTTCAACAATAAAATAAAGTTACATTAATTGATAAATCCATATAATAGAATACAATTTAGCCATCATGATATGGAAGATATTCATGATATATTCAGTGATAAAAGCAAAGCTTGAAACAGTATAACATTATGATCTTGCTTTTGTTTAAAATTATCTATCAGTCATCTCCTTACCTACCGATCTACTTATCTATCTAAAAAAGGCTGAAAGAATATTTATCTTGATGTTAATGTTAGTTACCACTGATTGGTATTTTTAAATTTTTCTTTATTATTATACATTGTGTATATTATTGCTTATTATTTTTCCTTTAAAAAAATAAACAAGTATTGCTTTTGTAATAAAAATATACAGTTACCCTTTGGACAGTGTGGGGGTTAGGGGCTCCAACCCTCCCACACATAATTGAAAATCTATGTATAACCTTTGACTTCCCCAAAACTTAAATTGTTCCTCAGTCTCAGTCTCCATGAGGGGATTGGGTCTGGGAACCCCTGTGGATACCAAACTCTGCGGATACTCAGATATCCTATAAGAAATGGTGTAGATCAATACAAACAGTCAGCCCTCTGCATCTGTAGACTCCCAACTGCTGATAGAAAACAGTATAGGTATTTACTGAAAAAAATCTGTGTGTAAGTGGACCTGTGAAAGGTCACCTGTGAATGTTATTTTATGGTAAATGTATGTATATATTTTCTCCATGTGTAAAGTAGAACAAGAGTTTATAAAATCAATTAGAAAATGAACAACACAATAGAAAAATGGGCAGTGGATGATTCCCAAAATAAAAACTATGAATGACCTAGGAACAAGAAAAGTTCAACCTCTCCTAATTTTAAAAAATAAAATGAGATATTTTTCTATAGTTAGACTAAAGTTTTCTTAAAGATAGAGAATTAATTCTCTATGACAGCAAGTGATTAGGGCTATGAGATCTCTTGTGCAATGTGGAGATGAGAACCCTATTTCCAGAGAATATGACAATACATAGCAAAAGCCTTAATACTGGGCATATTCAAATACAGGTGATTATTACAATATTGTTTATAATAGTGGAAATTAGAAAAACTCACATCCTAAAGATTAAGAGATTAACTATATTGTGGTGTAGCGATAAAATGGAGTATCATTCAGAAATCAAATTGGACTTTTTTAAAGAATATTTCTTGACATGGAATAGGTTCATAATATACTTCAAAGGGAGAAGAAATATTCTTTTTCTGCTCCCTCACAGTACCAGAAAATGTTGGGGGTTTTTTTGGTGCTATGTGATATACTCTGGTATTCTTGCCATGCTTGATAGTTGACCACTTAAAGATGACATGGTGTCTTACTGATGTCTGTTCTGACACTTGTTAACAACAGTACTATGAGTGTCTCTCTCTCTCTTCTCTCTTTTTGAATTTATACAATGATTTTACAATGGGAAAAATCTTTATTTAAAAAGGAAAACAATACTGGTAAATAATGGGTCCATGTTCCTCAAATTCAGAACCTTGGGATGAGCACTATGGAAATAACAGGAATCTTAACCTAACTTGGGAATAGCTTTAGAAGTAACAAAAAGATAAACATGCCCTCTTCTTGACTTTCTAATTAAACTGATGATGCCACAATATACTTTATTGCTATTCAATATCAAGACTTGGATATGAAATTAATAATAAAACGGATATAGTGTGTGCTCTGAAACCACATGCAAATTACCAATCACCTCCATAACAGTCATGGAGGTTCAGTTGTTTCCTTTCCAATGAACTGACGCACCACAGTATGGTGGTTGAGATCTCAGCCTCTTTTGGTCGTAAACTAGGCTCTTGTTGCTCTGTGTGCTTGGGCCGGTTACACCATCTCTCTGTGCCTGTTTACTCACCTAAAATGTGGGCATAATGATAGTACTAATGACACAGGGATGCTCTGCATTTTAAATGATATATTTAGACTCCTAGAATATACATGGTAAGCATTCAATAAATGCTATCAGATAATATTATTTTTATTATAACTATTACTATAATGGGAGTTGTACTTGTTATTTTAGGTGCCAGTTATTTTAAATATTTAATAAAGTTGAGTGGCTCCATAATATTTACTTGCTTGCCCACTCATAGTATTTACCTACATTTCTATGATTTTTTTTTGTTTTTTGCTTTAATTTCTTGAATATCAGAGTCTAAAAAAACACACAGATCAAGAACCTGAGAGGCTACAGAAGCCACAAGAAAGAGACAGGAAAGCCAGGGCACTCATTCAGCAGTGGGGAGGGAAGCGGACAATAGCTAAAGTGGCAGATGGTAGAACCGAGGCTGTGGAAACCTGGCTCAAGCCACATGGCGGGTGCTCTGCATAACTCTGTTGACCTCCTTTTCTGTGAGTAGCTTTTCTGATTGGCCTGACTTCCATGTCTTTCTTTTATAATAAAACTCTCAGCTGATGAAACCTGAAGACATCTTTGAAGTGTACAGAGCATATGTGACACACATATGTGGCGCACGTATGTGAACCATTTAAACTATGCTTTGGAAAGCCACATGAAAGTTCTCGACTTGTAGGTGGCCTCTCCAGTTTCTCTTTATTGGCCTCTTGGCTTTCTGTTTTGAACTCATGTTGCAACTTTATTCTTTAGTCTTTTGGACGACTGTCTCCACTTAAACTTACAATTGGGACCTTTAGGTAAAGGACTTCTCTACTTAAGTCTCAGTCCTGACTTCCTCTCTCCCTATTTATGAATCGGAACTACGAATAAGCATGTCCTTACATTGTCATAGCCCATGGAATCTGCTCTGGCCTAAGAAGGGAGGAAGATTAGATAATAGACCAGTAGGCAGTGATAGAGCTTGAGTATCGTCAGTCAAACTGAAGGGAGGGAGTGTGAGCTGGAGGATTTTAGAAAGTAGTACTGATAGAATGTCTGGGGTGAAGGAGAGGGCAAAGTCTCAGGTAATTTCTGTGTGTTTGTCTTGGTAGCCTGGAGTGACTATGAATAAGAAATGGGAGGTTTTCCAGCAAAGATGACAAGTTGTGGCATGAAGGTGGATTTGGAGATTGCAGGTGGGGCCTTCCAGCAGACAGTTGAAAATCTGCTTTCAAGAAGTCAGACCATTTCGCCTCTGCCTAACTACCAATTAGTTTAAATTAAAGTAAGCGGGTATGGTGTAGACTGCTATTTTCTCTTCCCTGTTTATTTGCTTTTCAGGAGAATTTAGGTTCATACTTGTATTGTTCATGTTGGTCTTAGATAAAGACGTATCAAGGGGAGATCCGCTGAGAAATCTGGTGCACCAGGAATCTGAATTCTGGAGTATTTTTTTAAAGAATCATACAATGTAAAAAGATAGGTTATCATGCAGAAAGTATGTAAGCAACCCTATATTAATTCTACTTCCTCTTAAATTGGTTTTTAAAAAGAAAAAAATGTCAAAGGGCACAAAAACATCAGGTTTGAAATAACTCAAAGCCACAAGAACATCTTGTGAAATCCCATATTATAAACTATGGTTTAAGAGATTTAATAGACTGTGGCAGTAAAATTAATGAATGACAACTCTGAAATATGTGGCTTCAAAAGTAAACAAAGAAGCAAATGGTAATACTTTGCAAAAGGTATGTAATATCAGTCCACAGTGTTATTTAGAAAATTATTTCAGCCAAAGTGCTTATCTTATACATGAAATAAAAGGGAAAATAGCTAAATAATTGAAAAAGGACAAAAAAGTCCTGGAAAGAGGAAGAAAGAAAGAGTAAAGCAAAGGAAAAGGTACCAGTAAAAATTCCAAAGAAAAAGATAATGAGACAAAAATATTTTTTCAGAAAAACTTTAGGAACAAAATAAACAGATTAAATTCATGACAAGTACATACAAATGAAAAACTTCCAAAGGAGAAAGAAGCAGCACAAAGGGAGGAGGGAACTAAGAATTCCGGCAAGAATGAGGCCTTGCTGACTTGTCATTTTATTCCTTGGACACCCTATCTGTAAAGTAAACCACCACTCCGTAGGCCACAGACAAGTATAAAAGTATGCATCAAATGCAAGAAAGAAGTTCAGTAAAAAGCCAACACCCACCTTTGGGTAGGGAGACGACTAATGGAGTTTCCTTCTTTTTAGTTTTCTGTGCCTACATAAATGTCTTATTTGAAACTACACTGCTTCCATAATGGACAGGATTTAACTCTATTAAAAGTGAAGCTCTGTATCACATTTCATATTAAAATTTAATACAGCAGAGTCTTACTCCGCTGCCGGCTAATTCAGGAACTGAACAGATGACATTCTTTCCTGTACAGTATGTAATCCAAAGCAAACTTTTCCCATGAGGAAGATTAGTTATCTCTGGTTGTCTGTGACGGGTTCCTAACCTGCATTTCCAATCATTAACTTTGAATAGATTGGTCTACTATCTGAGTTCTGCAGTCTTTGTTTTTCCGGAGAAACAAACAACAAGCTCCTCACGTCTACTATTATTCCTCCTATCTAGGGTGGGCCTCTCGCATTGTGTTCCTCTGGCTCACAGAGCCTGAGAGGAAAGGGCAGTGTTTCATTTGCACATGTTCAACCTTAGACACTCACAGCTCCATCTGCCCTCTCACACATGCGTTCCAGGATTCGGTGAATACTGGCGAAACTGGGTCTGTCCGCAGGCAGCTTGCTCCAGCACAGCCGCATTAGGTTGTACAGCTCCAGGGGGCAGTTCTCAGGGCAGGAGAGGATGTTGCCATCTCGCACATAGTAAATGACCTCCTCATGGGCCATCCCGTAGTAGGGCTGCAGGCCATAGGAGAAGATCTCCCACAGGACCACACCGTAGGCCCACACGTCAGACTCTGTGGTGTAGCGGTTGTAGAAAATGGACTCAGGTGGCATCCAGCGGATAGGGATGGCATCATTCTCATTAGCTTTGTAGTAGTCCGCTGAATAGATGTTCCTAGAGAGGCCAAAGTCAGCAATTTTCACCACCATGTTCTCTCCCACCAGGCAGTTCCTGGTGGCTAAATCCCGGTGGACAAACTTGCGCTCTGAGAGGTAGGCCATGCCGGCTGCTACCTGCCTGGCTATGCAGAGCTGCTCAGCACAGGAGAGGGCCGGGGGCCCAGGGCTGGAGACCTGAGCCCTCATGGACAGGTCGCTGTGACTGAGGCTGCACGCAGTGTGAGGAGACATGCTGCGGAGGAACTCGTTGAGGTCACCATAGGCCATGTATTCGAAGAGCAGGCACATGGGTTTCCCCACGGCACACACACCTGCAACCAAATAGCATCCTTTGTTAGGGTGGATTTCCAAAGTGGCACACTGGAAAGAGCACTCTAAAAGCAAGTGGCCAGATCAGAAAGTATGGGGCCCTGGCTTTTTTGTTGACAGCTCCCTTGTCAAATACTGACCCTATCTCTGTATAAACGTCTATTTACCTTTTCAGATGCAGTGTATCTATCACTCCTCCTAGGCTGCCTTAGCTCCTGAGCCTTTCAGTGTCAGATTTTCCTTCTGTCATTCTTTAACCCATTCTTTTACTATCCTATGTCATAAATATCCATTTATTTGAATTCCCCCCCCCCCAACATTTTAGCACCTTAAAAGTGAGATTATGTGTTCTTTAAATTCTGCAAACCAACCATGTCTGGCAGAGCAGGTACTCAGCATTTGTGGAAGGAATTTATAAATGGATGTCTCCTTTGTAATTACGTTACATATGTGACGTAATTCCTTCCGCTGTGCTTCTGCCACTTCTCTGAAGAAGGATAATAAGGAAGGTGTCGTATGAAATTTGGAAAGAATAACAATCCAAGATCTCAGATGAAGTTTTCAGGTTGCTGCAGAAAAACATTCTGAAATTTACAGTGTTCATGCTAGAAAGGAAACAATGTTAATATAAGGAGTTTCAGATTTAGTTCCAGGAGGATGTTTGCAAAGCTTAACATCTTGCTATATTTGAGAGGGAAACTGGGCAACTTGGAATATTAGATCATTTGGGCACAATTTTACATCACAATAAAGAGATTATTAGATCTATTTTTTTTCCCTCAGGCAATAATTAGAAGTCTATGTTATTAGAAGAGAAATAAAAATACTGTTATCTTGGCTTATTTATTTTAGGGTTAGTTTTTAATTCCAGGGACTTTAGCAAACAGTTGTATTTATATGTACTAGAGAGAAAATTAAAGAAATGACAACATACTACTCTGGGAATTTTATAAACTGAGGTGATTTAGTGAAATGCTGCACTCTGTGGTACGAAATATATTATATGGAAAGAAACAGACATTTCCCTGGTCAAGGCGTGAAGAAAAAAAGCATAAATGAAGTATGAAGGAGGCAAAACTTGGAACACCTCTGTTTTCTGAAACGATAAATACCTAAGAGCTTCACAATGTTAGGGTTGTCAAATTCCGCCATGAGGGCCGCCTCCCTCTGGAAGTCAGCTTGCATGTCTGCCGAAGCCTCTTCCTTGAGCATCTTCACCGCCACCATGGTGAACGGTTCATAGGGGAGCAAGCCTGGAGCCCTGCGAGGTATGTTTATTTAGAGAGAAATCGGAGATCAGGAATCTTATACATAGTCACATTATATCTATCTATATCATACACATCCCCCAATTTAAGCAACCTTTCCCAGAATCTCAGAATCAAAGAGAGATGCCAATAGTAGATTGTACTTAAAATTCCTTGACTTCAATTAATAAAAATCACTGGGGCTATTTTCAGCATAGATTAAGTTTGAAAAGTGCATTATTTTTAAATTATAGGAATTTGAAAGTATACAGACCCAATGGGATTATCAGTACCATCCTAACCCGGTAATTTCTGGCCAGAATCTAAATTCCAGGAAGGCAGGGACCATGACTTGCACATTTTTATATCCCCAAAGCCCCTAAAATGATACCTTGCATATTTTTGGTTTTTAATAAGTATTTGTGTAAGATTTTCATTAATCATGTAAACTTCCTACCAGGGCCACCTTGAGTGGACATAATGTCCTGCCCAAGAGCACCAGGCCAAAGTGATAATAGGTGTCCACATTCTCTGGTCCAGCAGTTGTGTGGAGCTGCATCCATGCATGGAGGGTATTTTATTCCAGTTTACACAAAGGGCTGGCATTGGGCCTAATGCATATTTGTTTCTCGAGTTCATTGTTTTCTGACATTTTTGCATTATTTTTTTCTTTTCTGTTTTGCCATTCTGTGAACATCTACTTAGTATCTACACACATCAGGCCCCAAGTTCTTAAACTGAAACACTAGATCAAAGTAAACTTTAAATGAAGTGGAGAATATAGCAATAGAAAATGTAAGAGAAGTAAATTTTGTAATTATTTAAAACACTGCAAGAAAATATGATTAAAAATGTATGTCAGAATTCTTTTCTAAAAAGGAAAGATGATTAAGCTTTGCAGATTCCTTGTAATTTGAACACTGTACAAATGAAGATTTTCCCCATATACACAGCCCTATTTTCTGACACAGAGGGATATTATTTAGATTCAAAGTATAGCACTCAATACAAGTAAGGTTAATGACATGAAGAATTAACTAATTTGATAATAACTATTATAGATACTATATAGAAATCAAGGTAATGGTCTGGTAACTTTTCAGACATAACATATTTCAGTGGAGAGACTTTTTACCTTGCCTGAAAGACCCTTCCAAATGCTCCTTCTCCGATATCCCTCACATATTCAATATTATTCCTTGGATACTCCAGGCTGAGCAATTTGGGATTCAGAAGAAGTGGCATCCTCTGGTACATGGGGTTGGGATGAAGTCTGTCTAGCAGGAGCTCAGAAGGAAGAGTAGTGAGGGTCACTGCTGCCGATTCTCTGCAGGTTAAGGCAGGTAAGATCAGTAATGAGCTCAGGATCAGGCGAGATCTTTGTACTCAGACTTACGGTTCTAAAGAGATGTGGTGTTTAGTAGGAAACATTCTACTGAGACAGCCAAAGATCATTCAGTTTTAGAGCAATGAAGTATTTTGTTTGGTCTGGAGTCAAAAGTGACATTTTCTCAGGAATTTTGTTGCTATACAGTCTGGCAGTGGCAATGGAGATGAATGGGAAGATGGGGAACAGGAATAGTCGTAGTCTTCCAAATTATTGTTTAGCTTCTATCTTCTGTGAAAAGTTAACCTGAGGACATGTGATCCTATGTGGAAAGTTATTGATACTTTTAAAGATCATGCTGGGGGTGCTTAATTTTAAAGCAATATAATGGATGCCATAAAGAGATTGGCTGTTACATGTATTCTGCCTCCCATCCCGCATTCCAGTATTAAATATGTAGGTTTTAAAACATTACTACACATGGTTAGATTGAACTAGAATCTCACCTTTTCTTATTTTTCCATTGTCTTCGTCTTCGGCAGCAATAAAGAGTAGTTATGGTAAGAAGCGCAAATACTGCAAAGCTGGACATGATGGAGATGATTACAGTCATGGAGTATGTGGGCGAGGCAGAGGAGGAGGAGGAGGAGGAAGGCACATTTGGAATGTCCACACTCGGCTTTGAGGACGTCATTGGTGGGAATGCTGAAAGGAAACAGTAATTCTTTTCATTCAGTCTTAAATTTTTAAGATGCAATTTTTGTATTCAAGCAATCAGTAAACTAAATTTAATTTTAAGAATATGTTTTTGTGCATCAGGTTCTCCCTGGTTATACACCTATAAGTCCAATTGTAAGAATCCAGTGAGATCCAATTGTAAGTAAATCCAGTTTATAGAATCACAGAATTTTAAAGATGAGACTTAGAGAAAAAAAAACATGTTTGTTTTTTCACAACAAATGCAGACCCTGGGCTAGTGCTCTTTAGACTGCATCATATTGTTTATGACCTGACAACAGTCATGGAAATTAAATTATTAAATAAAATGCTTGAAGTCAGGATTGTCTAAAGCTGAGCTTTTATGCTGTTGATTTACAAACAGAATAACATGGATCGAAGGAAATGAAAAAAAATGAAATATTGGGACACAAATGAGCGGAAGTTAGTTCATCTAAAAATTGACTCCTCTCAAACTCCTATTAAAAAGGTCTATGCAATATAAAAACAAAGTGAAATCTGCATTACTGCTGGAAACTAAAAGATGCTATATTCATATTACTCTGTAGAGTGCAAAGTCCATTATATATCTATAAAACAACCATATTAATTACATTTTAAATCCTTTTAATTGATTGAGTAAAGACGAAAACATGGATAACAGAGTATTTTAATAATCAACAAAAATGTTTCAATAGTAAAGAATGAACTTTGCACCCTAAAAAAAGAGAATAAACCTTACTTTAAAATGATGTTTTCGGAATAGTGACAGACATGATCTGTTGTCTGGCCACCAAGGAAAATCTTGATAAAATTCAGAAGCAAAAATTATGCAGATCTATTATTTGACCAAAATGTAATTAATAGATTAAATAAAATCCAATAGAACGTCTAAGAAAAGAAAAAAATTCAGTATCTTTTCAACCAGAGAGTAAAAAATAGCCATTGTTACAGATTAGAAAATAACTTCCTAATAGGGTATATGGAATTTGGCCAACACTGTGCTGAATGATAAACTCATAGTGCTATCTCTTTTCATTAGATTAAAAAAAAAGAAAGAAAGAAAGAAAGAACTAAACATTTAACTTAAGATTTTGGAAAGGAAACAAAAACTACAGAAAACAAAGGAAAACAGATGATAAAGTAACAGCCATGTACAAGCAGAAATTAATAAGTTAGAAGGCACATACCACAAATGATAGACTTAAAAGTCAATAATTGGCCTTATAAATATTATTAAGTAGACTAATCAGTGGAATTTTAATTTTAAAAACATAGGAAAGACAGAAACAAATTAGGAATGATAAAGGAATTAAGACAATAGATTCAAAGGTCAATAAAAATAAAATAATGATGCAGTTATATTTTTAAAATCTTAAGGAAAATGATAAATTATTAAATTTGAGTAATAAGAAAATCTGACTATAGCTAAACTAGGAAATTTAAAAATCATTGTAGAATTGTGGATATATTATTTCAGTCTTAAAAGAGATAACATTTTCATATTTTATAATATGTTCCAGGAAGAGAAAAATCTTTCAAATTATTTTAGGAAGTTATTGTAAAACTAGTATCAGAACCTAACAATGTTAGCACAAAAGAAAAGCACATTCATAGATTATTAAACATAGATTTAAAACATCTTAAATGAAATATTAGCAATTGACTGTGACATGGTAAGAGAATAATGATTTAATATAAGGAAATAAATTAATATAAAACATTACAAAATCAGAGGAAAACTTTTATTGCAGTAGATGCCTAAAGCCATTTGAAACAGGACATGTAAAAGCAAAGATTACAAGGGATGCCAATATATGACTTCTTCGCCTAGAAGTGGACACAGTGATTATGTCCTGAGCACCCAGAATTAAGAAGGTGGTTTTGAAGCCTGTGGAGACCACCTTTGGTCCTCATTGTGACTCAGGCTGGCACCTGGAACTGAAATATGTCAACACAGCAGTAAAACATTCGTGCAGGACCAGTGATAGTATTTCTCATCAAGCATCACAGCAATGGTGAACTTAACAGACTTCCCAGGTTCCTCTATGTTTTATCTGAAAGGCAATCTAATTTTCTTTGGACTGAGTGACCTGAAGGTTTTATTTTTACTCAATCCAAATGGGGGGGAAGGGGGACCTAAATTAAAGAGTGAAACCTGCTGCTTATAATAAAGAATAAGCAATCATTAAAAGACAGGGAGAAGTGACCATTTTTGTATCTGGATTTTACAGAGCACGTCATACCATATTTAACGTGAGGGAATGTAATATAATTTATAAAATTTGTAGTGTAATTTCATTAGTAAATGTAAGGGTAATTTTTCTCAAAAATATCAGAAAATAGAATTCAGTAGCTTATTAAGAAAATATTCCATTTTAATTTAGTAAGATTTATTTTTAAAATGCAAGAATTGACATAGTTTGAACAATAATTTTGTTTTATAGATTTAGTTACTTCTTCCTTTTGGGATAGTTTTGTATTTTGTCGATTATTGTTCCTGATCTGTTTGCTCTGGTCTTCCTCGGAGTTACATTAATTATGTCTTTGGATTCAAATGATCAGTTTGGATCTCCAGTTTCTTTCCTTTTAAAGTTTCTCTTCTCATCATGATTTTATCTCTTTATACTTTTCCTCTGAACATTAGGGGAGTTTTATTCACTCATTCGTCCATACATTAATGTATTCCCTAAATTAATATTGATTCTTAGGTATCAAGACTACTGTGGTGAACATGACACATCTTCATGTTAAAGTACTTAACTGGGAAACAATGGGTAAACTGGTAATTACAATAAAATGTAAATAGTGTTACAGGAATGGTAAGAACAGGATGCTTGTGAACATCCAGGGGCAGCCCACTCCAGGTCTAGGCATACTGGATACGTTTTCTAGATAAGTAACTGTTAAATATAAAGGGTGAATCGGCAATACTGGTTGAAGGTGTACGTGCATATGGAGGTGGGGAGATAGTATTCATAAAGAAGGAATAACGTGTGTCAGGGCCCAGACCAAGCAGGTGTGGTGCCTTTCTTACTGTCAAGCTGGAGACTGTCTATAGGTAAGGCTACAGATATCAGGTCTAGGTCATAAAAGGTGTTGTACACCAAGTTAAGTAATTGGGACTTTGACCTGTAGTAAGTGGAGAGAATCATTGGAAGGGTTTAAACAGTGGAGTAGCATGATCAGCCTTTTGCTTTAGAAAGATCACCCAGCTGCCACCTGAATTTCATGGTATTAATACCCCCATCACTGCTGATTTCACGTTACCAATAATGAAGTCCTGGATGTGGAGTTGGAAAGAGATGTTCAGTAACACACCATTATATAAGATTTCTACCCTACAGATGACCAGGATAAAGTGGAAATTTATGTTTTTATCTAGACAGAAAGAACACATTACTTGTATATTGCATTGTGTGTTTACCACCCAAAGTCAATTCTCCATATATTTGACCCCCTTTATCCTTTATGACCTCACCCCAAAACCCTTTCCTTTTAGTGACCACCAGTGTTGTTTGTGTGTGTTAACTTTTGTTTGTCTTGCTTGTTCATATGTAAAACATTTTTAAGAATAGAAAATGAATGTTTTGTAGCTCATTCATACCCATATTATTATAATCGGCATAAAAGGCAGAAATGCGGGTGCTTTCTGTGCGTGTTGCTCCTGTCTAATCTAGGATTAAAGGTCAGCACCTTCCACACAGTAAACCCTCAGTGAACTGCTTGAATGGATGAATGGGTAAACAATTGAAGGGTAACAAAGACCACAGCCAACAATTAAAAGTCCACTCAGAGTAAACTTTGGCTGCTTATATGACGAAGAATAAAAACATTTCTCTTTCCTTCCTTCAAGTTGGGAGTAACAATCTGACAGGCTTTCAGAATAATAGATTCTTTTGGTTTTCCCTAACTGCTGTTGTTTACAAACACTGAGACATTCAGTGGTGACCAGTAGCATTCTTTCTTTTAATACTTGAAGGCTTAGTTCTTTAAGTAAGCCGATAAAATCAAGTGCTGGCACTTAGCCGAGTGCAGAGGTGATTAGCTTTGGAATATGTATCACAGAAAGTGAATCTGAGTTAAGCCTCAGAACACTCAAATCAGAGGAAGTTAACTGACGTGAAAACCTTTTCTAATACCATTCTGAAGATTTCGGCATTCTTAGGTCAAAGCACTATCTGATGCAAGTTAGTTTCTGGGACATCTCTTTGCAAGCAAACTTTTTGAATTCTTTTCCAGGAATTTTGAAACAACCATTTTAAAATCATCTGACTTGTCTCTGCAAATTTTTTATGGGAAATTAGCTGTCTTAAACAAATATCTATCTTCCAAAAGAAGGATCTGTTGTCACAAATGAAGATTGAGAATTGGCTCCACGAAGAAAAATATATTTGTTTTCATCTAAACAATTAGCTGATACAAAAAATCACAAGTGCAAAGTCAAAAGGTGACATTTTCAGTGTGACTTATTTTATAGCCATATAAGGACCAAGCAAGCTAATAACCTTGAGGTAGGAGATGTCATTTATATCATTCACTAAACAGGCTGCTCTCCATAGCCAAATTAGAAGCTATATGCGGAGATCTGCAGTGATTTTCCTTGATGTGCTACCCTGCCTGGGTGGCCACATCTAAGAGGAGCTGTACATTCCGTTCTGGACAATATGAAGCATGAGTGTAAATGAGCATGCAGGAGTCCATTTACATACACAGAAGGTTTCAAGGGCACAAACAAAATTACTTACTTGTTAGGTTTTCTTTTTTAAAATCTGAGGGGGAAAGGATAAAGATTTGTTTTAAGTGAGCATCCAGATATCTCATATTCTGTGAGAGAGCTAAGGACAGCAAGTTCTCTTTCAGCTCTTCAATATGCAACTGGAAAACATTCTTTGCATTAAATGGGAAAGGGCTGCTTCTTGGAAATTAAACCAGCTGTTAGACTTCCTTACAAAGTTCATTAAAGCAGCATGCAGGGATTCAGCTTTGTTTTGAGAGGTCAGCATTTTCAAACATGTGGCTTATTTTTGCATGCTTAAAAATCTGCTTCATTGGCTAAGAGAGAGGACTCAGTTCCTTTATTCCATTCCTCCACAAAGTATGAGAAGTTCTTAGCCATTTCTCTGCACATTCCAGAAAATATTACAAGCTCTCATAAGATCCCCATATGAAATAAGGTCAGCTCTCAAGCAGCAGTTAAAAGTGCTCTTTAATTTCTTTGAGAACAAATAAAGTCAATCCTTATGCTAACCTGTGCAATTAGGATAGCAGTAGGATTCTGTTATTAGGTATCCGAGGGAGGCAGAACTAAAAAAAAAAATTAGAAATGCCTAGAAATATTAGGAGATTTAAGTGCACACCTTAGTTTCTACAAAATCAGTAAATGATTCAACCTCCAAAGTCTTGAGAGGCTCCTGTTACCTAAAAATGGCAGTCTGGTGCAGGCCAGCGGGTCCCAGTGCATGCTGGGGAGCTTGCTGCAGTCAGGCAGGGAGAGCAGATGTGGCCCCGGTCTGTAGAGTCCCCTGTGGGTCTTCTCTTCCAGTGCCAGCCATTCTTTTGCACAGAAGAGCTCCTGTACCGCCAGGCAGTATTCTCTGAAATAGTTAATGAAGAACAAAATTTGATGAGCCATGGCATGTTAACCCCAAGTTTGTGGCGGCGCCTAAATTCTTTATTTTCAAAACATCATTATAGGACATTGTTCTTGCAAGAGGGCTTTTGAAAGGACTGTTTTATTGTAAATAATATGAGACTTAATGAAATATCCTGTCAGATGAAATAGTATCTTGTTTTGTTTGTAAAACATAATTAATGCTACTTTAAAAGTAAGATGACATGTTAAGTATGTTTTTCATGGGAAAAATAAGAACTTCTTTAAATTCAAAAGGTATTAGATTAGGAATCTGTGATCTGTCTTCTCTCAACTTTATATTACAATAACTACAAAGGTACAGAAACAAGGTACACAGAGCTTTTAAAACACACATACTAAAAGTTACAGATCATTGTCAGTCAATTTCCAGCCCAGGAGATCTCCCTTTAATCTCGGGGCTAATGGCAGGGCCTGAGAAACATGCTTGTCTTCTAAACAGAACAGCACCACCTCCCTGGCAGGTTATAGGAGGGCACATGGAGCCCTACCCAGCCCTAGCCCTGCAGAAGCTGAGGCCTGTCCCATTGCTGTGTGTGTTTCCCTGCTTCTCTCCCCGACCCCCAATATAAGACAAGAGTGTCGGTACTTCAACTAGAATAGTGGGTGGAATGTATTATAAAATATATACATGTAATATAAAATAATATTCTAAAATGCTCATCATGACCTCATATTTGTTGGCAAATAGTGCTGAAACACTTGAAATGTAGTTATATTTTTCCTTCTTCTCTCTCTTGGCTTCCTAATGAGATCTGTGTTAGTTTAGGATTTTTTAAAATTTCATAGAAAGCAGAGATATTTATGAATGTGATAATGTGAACAATAACAAGGGCAATAGGATATTATACCATTTATGACATTTTTTCGAAGCTCAGAGTCCTTGTATTATAAGGTATCATCAGTGATTTACATGGTAGGAATTTTGTCCAATTAATTGCCTTCTATTTTGGACAAAAGCCTATTTTTTTTTTCCTTTGCTAAAACACATGACAACTGCCTCTTTTGAAAACTCTTCCTGTTTGCAGACAGTCAAATACATTTTCCCATTTATTTAATTTTAATTTTACCTGCAAATGGGTATGGGAGTAGATACCGCCCCAGGGTTGCATTCTTGGAAGATGTGGTTACACAGCAAAGCCTCAGCAGCCGGCCGGCAGAGCGGGCTCACTGCCTTCAGGTCACTCCAGGCGGTGTGGACAAGCAGTTCCTGGGCCTCCTCAGGGTCAGCGTAGGAGTTGTTGAAGAAAACAAGAGCATCGTTTGCCAGCACAGCATTGCACACCTCCCCTCTGTACTGGGCACAGTAGCCTTTGCTATCTTTCTGTGGTTTACTGAAAGGAGCAAGAAACAATGTTCCCAGTCACATGCTATTTCTTGGCATTCGGTCTGCTTTTTTTAACATCTGCATCACAGAAATAGGAGAAAACTGCACTAGTAAATTGGTTGAAATGCTCCACCTGAATATTGTTTTCATTTCCACCTGCAGTTATATCACCTCTAGCTTCTTCAGAAGGCTATTGTGAGGATCAAATGTGATAATGGATGTGGAAAACTTTAGAAACTATGGGTATCCTTATTATTTACATTATAAATATAATTTGAATGCTCTTAGTTAAATAGCCTGAGATGCTTCTTACAAAAAATAAAAATCAAAAGAAAAATCTGAATCAGTTTTGAATAGAAATAAGATTTTGGTTGCAGTTTTGGTTTTTCTTTCTATAAAGTTAACTAGCCTGTGCAAGCCCTTTGCATACTGGGAAAAGCCATAAAATACAAAGTATATGGTTCTTATTACTTTTCTATGTCTCTGTAGTATTTCTGGGAGCATTAAAGTCTGTTTCTAGAATTAGCTCTAGGAGGTAAGAAATAATATACGGGAGCAAATATATACATGTTTTATACATATAATACAGGGTGGGGCAAAAGATTTACAGTTGTGAGTATACAAAACAGTTTATTCTTGTATTAGTATTAATTATAGTATTATTTTCCATACAAACAACTATAAACCTAGTTTTGCCCCATGCTGTATATATACATATAAGTGGACAGAGACATACTGTCCAGTTATAGTTTCAGAGTTGAAACAAATTCCTTTTTTCTCTCTTCTTATGCAGACTTATAAACCTCAAATTTTATGCAGTTATCAAATTTTAGAGGCAAAACATGAAGGCAAATTGGGATATTTTGTCCCTCAACCTCCCAACCCTATCACTTAAACAAAATTCAAAAGGAGCTCACAGCAAAAATTGGGGGACAAGATAAATGCAAAGAACTGCCTTGATGTCTCCTGTTGTCTTTTGCGAATGAGGAGACCCCTCGCTGTGCAACTGAAGCTGCGTTTCTCTGCAGGCAGGAGACTGCCGATGGAGCAACACCAGAAGCAGCTGGTCCTGTTGTTCATTCGAACAGTGGGGCAGAGGTCACAGGGATCTGTACACAGAATGCTAGTTATTTTGGAATGATCTGCCGGACTATCTCCAAAAATGCAAGTTAATATTGCACATGGAGCCAGTCCCTCTCTTGCCTCCTGACAAACTAAATCTGGCTGATCTTCCTTTCTGTAAAGTTTCTCTTTTTAGAGGCAACAATGGATATTTAATCCCAAGTCTCCCTTTTAACTTCTTTTATAACAGACAACTCTCCTTGGTCAAATGGAATATTTAAAGAATTCTCATTACACCCTTCACTCATTTCTCTCTGCATTAACATGTATGAGTCATGTATTTAAAAGTGATCATGCAGTTCCTATGAGGGAGACCTCCACGCCCTTTGAATAATGCTCGTCCATGCAGACAGTCCACTGTGATTTGTTTGAGATACGGCAACCCAACTACTCCATTGGAAATTCTACCACCTTTTCCAGCTATCCCTAGGGGTGGCACACTTGTACCTCTCCTCTGATATGGACAAATCTCCTTTCCTGATAGACCAACTGTCTAGTCTCCCATTGTACTTGCCCAACAAGTTTTATGACCAGGTTCTATGCCACTTCCGATCTCCAAAGCAAACTTGGAATTTTTTATTCGTTCATGCCTAGTGTCTTTGTATATGATTCATTCTCTAAGGCAGTGTCAGTAAACACAACCCACAGGTCAAATTCAACCTGCTGCCCATTTTTATACTGCCTGTGAGCTAAGAAGGATGTTACATTTTAAATGGTTGGGAAAAAAAAAAAGTGAAAACTTTATGAAATTCCAATGTCCATGTCCATAAGTAAAGTTTTATTGGAGGAGAGCTGTGTTCAATTATTTATGAATTGTCTATGCTGTTTTTGCCCTGAAACAAAAGAGTGGAGCAGTGGCAACAGAGACCGTATGGCCCACAAAGCCAAATATATTTAATATCCAGCCCTTTACGGAAAAAATTTGCTAACCCCTGCTCTAAGACATAGATCAGATGTCATTTTTCTGAAATGCCAAACCAGTGTCCTCAAGCAGAAGGACATGGCCTCCTCTGAAAAACACCTCTTGTGTTTCTTCTGACTAAAATTACTATACTACCTGTTTACTCTGTAAAACAGAGTGATATCAAGACAAAATTGTAAATATAAAAAATCTTGAAAATTTATTATATTAGCCAAGTATATATATATATTTTATATATTTGTACATATGTCAGTTATCAGTATATATACATAGGCACAACACATATAGTATTACATATATATGGTATAAGTACTATATGTAGTATACATGATATATAATATAACTTTTATAAATATGTTTTTATATCCTGTGTTTTTACTTAGCATGATCTAAACATTCGCCTAGCCCTATGCCATCATGTTTTTCAAAAGCATGGTCCTCAAGTCACATCAATTTATCTTATTGGTAGATATTGAAATTGCCCATACATTTCACCAAATTTAACTTCTACCATGTTTATGTTGTATGTCCCTCCCGTAGCTATTCAGCTTCACTGTAGAATCCGTAAGGATCGGAACTCTCTTAGAACTGTGATAAATGAATACATTAAAGCTATATGAATTGAGACAGGATAAGGAACTAACCAAATTTTCTCATGCAATGTATTCTTTCATTCCGCGGAATCAGAAGCAGTGGTTTCTGGTTTAGGTCCTGCTCAGCTACTGTGCTATCTGGGTTAGTGTAGAAGTTACCAATCTAAGTTCTTGCGTCTGTCTATCTGAGATCAGATTGAAACTTTGTAGTTTGCTATGTGGTCCTGGCAATTTTTGGTGCATCAGATTCTGCATATAAAAACATAGCGATAATAATAGTTCTTGCCCCATAAAGTTGCTGAAATGTTGATATGAGAAAAGTGGTGATCATAAATATACCACAAAACTTAGCTGTTATTATCATTATTACAATTGTTAATTAATTATTCTTAATCTCAGTTTCATCATTTGTAAAATTAGATAAAAATAGTTGTCACACTTCATGGAGTTTTTATGAAAGTCAGCTTTACTGCAAATGAAACTCTAAATTGCCAAGTGTTATATTACAAGGTGATACTTTCTTATCTATAGGATAAAGCAATAAGGGAGAGTTTGGGGGAGTCAGTGCTGAGTTCCATTTCCAAGCCTATAATTTACTAGCTCTGTAAGTCACTGCACTCTCCATTTCAAAGACACTCTCTTAGTTTCTTTTCGGTACAATAGGGATAATAATAGTACCTATGTCATAGGGATTTCCTGAGGATAACTTTCAATAATGCACATAAAGCCCTGAAAACAGTGCTTGATACACCATAAGTATTCAATAGATGTTACCTATCTCCTTTTTCATCATCATCTTGTAAGAGTATTAAAAGGATTCGAAATTAGAAAGTTTCTGAAAGATTACAGTGCTCAGCAAATAGACAATAGATGGCATGTCAGACACAAATTAAAACACAACAAAACAAAACATTGATATAACAACAGTATCTTACCTCCATTCTTTTCACCGGAAAGGAAATTCCCACAGGAAATCAAATTAAAGGGGAAAAGAAGCCAAAGTTAGTACATTTTCATTTTATGGTTTGTAAGAGATAGCTTTCATACCTCTAATTTCTTAAGTTTCTGAAAAGTTCTCTGCTTCTGCCAGGAAGCCTAATACTACAATGACAGGCAGATTTGGAGAAGGAGATTAAGAAAATATGGACCATCTCCAGGAACTGAATTCTTTTCAAGTTGAAGCAACCATGGACACCATTAGTCCAGACAGTGTCATAGCTCTGAACATTCCTCTGTTAGCCACCCAAGGACTTTGCATCCAGAAAGCAAGATGTGGAGGTTAAGTGGGAAGAGGTGAGAGAGGAGGGTTGGAGGAGAGATGAGAGAGCTGTTATTTCCACAGACCCACTAGCTTCATAGTCCTGTGACCTGTGCAGCCACACAGGGTCATGTACCCAGAAGAACCACATGCTTAGTTTAGTGCACTGCTGTCACCGTCTGAAAATATTTCATGTTTTAACAAAAGCCCCCACATTCCCATTTGTGAGGGTTGGTGACTGAGGTTTTTGTAACCTTGAATGTGTGAGTCTTTTGTCTTTTTGGGCTTTTTATTAAATGAGCCTGATGATGAAGCTCAGAAACCAACCTACATGAGGCACCACCATGACCCAAACCTCATGCCGATCCTGCCACTGTATGGATAGAACAGGTGGAGGGAGACATCAGGAAATTCTTCCAGAGAAAATGGTATGTGATTTAGAGAGGTAAAGACAGATTCTAAGAGCAGCTGAGCAGGGAAACCTGTTGAAACACGAGGAGGCCAAGGTTATGTATATGAAACAGCCCTTAATTTAAGATGTAAGAGGAGGATTCAATATCATGGATATGTGCCAGTGCCAAAGAGAATCCAGGCATAGTACTTGGGAGGAGATAATAAGCTTAGATATGCTTCTATTTCAAGGAGAAGTGAGGAAAGAAAAATGTAATTAATTAAGGGTGCTTGGTTATCTGAAGAATATTAAGAAAATCTGAGGATGCCCTCATATACTGGGTTTCCCTATGTTTCATATAGAAATTTCTCCAGTCACATTTTCTTTTGCCCGGGGGGTGGGGAACAGGGAAGGGATCCAAGAGCCTTGCAATCATAAACAACTGCTTTTATCTCAAATAAGACATTTTAAAATTTTAAAAATTTCCAACAGTCATCAATATTTGTAGTATTTTTTAAATTATCTGGAAAAGTCAGCAAAAGTTTGGCTCTCTTCTAAAACATAGAGTGACTCTAATATAAGAAAGCTGCTTGATTATAAGAAGAATGCTCAGCTCTTAGGCCTAACTGCAGAACAGCTGGTAGCAATTCAGTGTGGCTACTGGCTGTTACTCATTTTTTCTTCCCCCTTTTATTAAAAACAAAACCAAAACACCTTTAGTCAATATGAAACCAGATAGTCAGGTGAGTACTGGAAATATTGGGGGGACCACTTTGTAAAATATATATGATTGTCTAACCACTATGCTATACACCTGAAACTAATACAAAATAATATTGAATGAAAAGTGTAATTGAAAAATAAATTTTTAAAATGTAACCATATAGAGCAGCCATGAGGTGCCAGAGACTGATGCCTGTTTGGTTGATAAGAATACTCTCTTCCTGTTGTGGCTGAGCAGCGTGTTCCTGCTACATCACCACATGTCTCATAATTGAGGAGATTAGGGACACATTGGGAGTGTGACTCTTAGACTCATCAACATGAGAGAGCATGAAACATGGTAGTACAGCCCGGCCGGGCGTGGCTCAGCGGTTGAGCGTCGACCTAGGATCCAGGCGATCAGGGTTCGATTCCCGGTCAGGGCACATGCCCAGGTTGCGGGCTCAATCCCCAATGACTCTCTCATCATTGGTGTTTCTATCTCTCTCTCATCATTGGTGTTTCTATCTCTCTCTGAAATCAGTAAAGATATATTAAAAAAAAAAGAAACATGGTAGTACATTCAATCAGCTATATTGATTATGAAATATAATTCAAAGTTCTGTTTATTTCTGTAACAGTGTGAAACATCAACTCCTTTAAAATATAGAAAATGAAACTACAGTGGTCCCCTTTTATCCACAGTTTTGCTTTCTGCGGTTTGTTACCTGCAGTCAACTGCAGTCTGAAAATATTAAATGGAAAATTGCAGAATTCAACAATTCATGAGTTTTTAGTTGTTTGCCATTCTAAGTAGTGATGAAATCTCGCAACATTCTGCTCCATCGGGCCGGGATGTGAATCACCCATTTATTCAGTGTCTCCACACTGTAGACGTTCCCCCAACTGTTAGCGCTCTTGTTTATCGGATCAACTGTGGTGATGCTGCAGTGTTTGTGTTCAAGTCACCCTTATTTTACTTGATAATGGCCCCAAAGCCCCAGAATAGTGATGCTGGCAATTCGGGAATGCCAAGGAGAAGCTGTAAAGTGCTTCCTTTAAGTGAAAAGCTGAGGACTCTCACATCATCTCCAGAAGGGTGAGTGCAGTACAGTAGGATATTTTGAGAGAGAGTGACCATGTTCATATAACTTTTACTATAGTATATTACTATACTTGGCCTATTTTGCTAGTTATCATTGTTAATCTTGTACTGTGCCTAATTTATAAGTTAAACTTTATCATAGGTAAGAATGTACAGGAAAAAATGTAGTATACATAGGCTTCAGTACTATCTACGGTTTCAGGCACCCAGGGGGTCTTGGAACATATCCCCCGTGGATATAGAGGTAGTATGGAGGACTCCCATACTACCACATCATATTTCTTTCTCCCTACTGCCCAGTTTTGGTTTTGTTACAAATATTCATTTGAGCTTTAAATTTTATGACCAGAAGTTCCAGACCCTGAGGTCAGTCCAAAGAAGGGGCATTGCAGAAGTGGGAGTGTTGGTAGAATGGGAAATTGCTCATTTTAGAGAAGGGATGTGACCCAGGCTCATTCCTGTACCCTGAGGCTGGATAAGCACAGAGACAACTTTGGACATCACCCTCCCAGGAAGGGCCTATTCATGCCTTCGAGAATGGGAAATACAAATGTGTATTTTCTTCTCCTGAATCCCTGTCTTTGTTTTTCCCCAGTTTTACTGAGATATAATTGACATAATATTTTATAAGTTTAAGGTGTACAATGTATTGACTTGATACACTTACATATTGCAAAATGATTACCACGATAGCATTAGCTAATACCTCTGTCATATCACATAATTACTTCTTTTTTTGGTGAGAACATTTAAGATCAACTCTCTTAGCTACTTTCAAGTATATTATACAGTATTATTAACTATAATCACCATGCTGTGTATTAGATTCCTGAACTTAATAATCTTATAACTGGAATTTTGTACCCTTTGATCAACAACTTCCTATTTTCCTCCACTCTGAAGCCCTTGATAACCACCACTGTACTCGGGGTTTCTATGAGTTAGGCTTTTTTAGATTCCACATATAAATGAGACCATATAATACTTACCTTTCTCTGTCTGACTTATTTCACTTAGCATAATGTCCTCAAGTTTCAACCATATATTGTCACAAATGGCAAGATTTCATTCTTTTTATGGCTGAATAATATTCCATTCTGTATATATACCACATCTTCTTTATCCATTTGTTCATTGATAGACACTTAAGTTATTTTCCTATCTTGGCTATTGTAAATAATGGACATGAGAGTGCAAATATCTCTTCAATATCCTGCTTTCATTTCCTTTAGGTATAAACCCAGAAGTGGAATTGTTGGATTAGATGGTGGTTTAATTTCTTGAGGAATCCCTATGCTATTTTCCATAGTGGTGAATCAATTTCCATTCCCACCAGCAGTGCTCAAGAAGTCCCTTTTTTCCATATCCTTGCCAACACTTGTTTACTCTTGTCTTTTTGATGATAGTCACTCTAATGGGTATGAGGTGATATTTCATTGTGGTTTTGATTTGCATTTCTTTGATGATTAGTGATGTGGAGCACCTTTTCATGTATCTGTTAGCCATTTGTATGTACTCTTTGGAAGAAAATGTCCATTCAGATCCTCTGCCCATTTTAACAATTGTATTTGTGTTTCATCTTTTTTAAGTTGTATGAGGGTTGTTGTTTTTAAAGCATATTTTGGATATTAACTCCTTACCAGATACATGATTTGCAAATATTTTATCCCATTCCATATGTTGTATTTTCATTTTGTTGATGGTTTATTTTGCTGTGCAAAAGTTTTTTAGTTTAAAATAGTCCCACTCATTTATTTCACTTTTGTTGCTTGTGCTTTTGATGTCATATTAAAAAAAAAATCATTGATGAAAACGATGTCAGCGAGGTTGCCACCTATGTTGTCTTTTTTGTCCTGATCTTAGAGGAAAAGCTTTCAGCCTTTCAGTGTTGAGTATGATGTTGCTTGTGGGTTTGTCATCTATGCCTCATATCGTATTGAGTTATGTTCCCTCTATACCCAATTTGTTGACCTTTTTTAATCATGAAAGGATATGGTATTTTGTTGGATGCATTTTCTATATTTATTGAGATGATCATATGATTTTTATCTTTCATTCTCTTAATGTGGCATATGACATTTATTGATTTGCATATGTTGAACCATTCTTGCATCCCAGAGATAAATCTCACTTGATCATGGTATATGCTCCTTTAATGCGCTATTGAATTCAGTTTACTAATATTTTGTTCAGAATTTTTGCATCTGTATTTATCAGGGATAGTGGTCTAAAGTTTTCTTTTCTTGTAGTGTCTTTTTCTGCCTTTGATATGAGGATAATGTTGGCCTAGTAAAATGAGTGTGGGAGTGTTGCCTCTTGGTCAGTTTTTTGGAAGAGTTTGAGAAGGATTGGTGTTAATTTTTCTTTAAATGTTTGGTAGAATACCTGTGTCTATTTTGATGGCCTCTGGCTCTTCCAGGATTCTGCTCATTAGAGGGATCATGGGCTGTCCCTGGTGTCTTGCTTGTCTCTGCCTCAGGACTGAG